AACTGTTAATAACGGCTGTGCTTGCCCAATGTCTTGCCAAATTCCTGAAAATATATCCTTTGGCTTTCAGGAACCAGTGCAGGTCATTATAAACAGACCCCAGGCACCCTACTGAGCTGGTTCAGCTATTCTCCTGATGATAGATGTGTGTACTTTTTTCAATTTTTGGCCATTATCAATAAAACTGCTATAAACATTTTTGTACAATTCTTTTGCATGGATTTGTGTTTTCATCTTTCTTTGGCAGATACCTACAATTTATAAGGTGATAGGATAGGTGTGTGTTTAGTTTTTGAGAAACAACCAGACCTATTCCCAAAATGATTATACCATTTTACACTCCTGCAAAATATATTAGATTTTTTTTATTTATAATTTTTTAATAATATGTAATACATTCATATATTTCAAAAGAAAAACAAACCTTGAAAATTATTCTTACCGTTGTTCCACATTTGCCCACTCTGTCCCTGGCCTCATTACAGGTGATCACAGTTGTTAGTTTCTTGGATTTTAGAAATTAATTCTGTATTTTTTTTTAAGATTTTATTTATTTATTTTTAGAGAAAGAGAGAGCACAAGCGGGAGGGGCAGAGGGAAAGGAAGAGAGAGTCTCAAGCCGACTCCACACTTGGATCCTGATGGAGGGCTCTATCCCAGGACCTGAGATCATGACCTGAACCAAACCAAGAGTCAGACGCTTAACCACCTGTGCCACCCAGGTGCCCCAGAAATTATTTCTGTATTTGTACACAAGTAAATACTAATATATATTTTCATTTCCCCTTTTAACACAATGCTTTTTAACACATTTGTATTAGTTGACTAGGGCTGCCATAACAAATACCTCAGACAAAACAGCTTAGACAACAAAAATTTATGTTGTCCCAATTCTGGAGGCTGGAAATCCAAGATCGTGGTCCCAGCAGGGTTAGATTCTCCTGATGTCTTTCTCCATGGCTTGTAGATGATCACTTTCTCACTGTGTTCTTACATGGCTGTCCAGTCATCTGTTTCGTCTGTGTCCTAATCTCCTTTTCTTATAAAGACATCAATCAGATTGGATTAGGGCCCACTGACCTCATTTTAACCTAAGTATCTCTTTAAAGGCCATATCTGCAAATACAGATTCTGAGGTACTGGGGGTTAGGGCTTCCACATATGAATTAAAGGTGGGGGAACACAATTCAGCCTATAAGAACAGGTCTATCCTTTGCTTTGTTCATTTAACAGTCTTCTTTGATGATATTCCCCTTTCAATATATAGAAAGGTTGCTTATTTGTTTTTTGAGTTAGAGAGTAATTTATTGTATGGATGAACTGACCGGTCAGTAAATCAGTCCCCTATTGATAGACACTAGGGTTGTTTCCAATATTTTGCTACTCACAACAATGCTGCAATGAATAAGCTTACACCTAGTTCATTTTATATACCAGAAAGCATCTCTATAGACAAATTCCCTGAAGTAGAATTGTTGGGTCAAATGTTTTGTGTATACTTGTCATAATACATCATCAAACAGTCTCTTCTCCAGTCCAGCAATGTGCCTACTTCCCCACAGCCACATCAATAGAGGGTACTATCTATTTTTTGGATGTTTGCCAATCAAATAGGGGGAAAATGCTATGTCAAAAAGTTTTAACTTGCATTTTTCTCAATGAGTAAGATTGAATTTTTTTATATGATTAAGAGCCATTTACTTTCTTATCTGTGAACTCTCCTCATTGTTTTTTATTGGCTTGTAGAACTTCTTACTAACTTCTGAAATTCCTTTATGCTAGAGAGATTAGCCCTTTGTCTATCACGTGTGTTGGAACTATTTATTCCTTGTTAATCATCTGTCTTTTGACTATGTTCATGGTGCTTTTTGCCAAACCAATGTTTTTCATAGTCATGGCTTCTGGATTTTGAGCAGGAGTTAGAAAGGCCTTTTTTAGGGTACCTGGGTGGCTCAGTTGGTTGAGCATCTGCCTTCCACTCAAGTCATGATCCTGGCGTCCTGGAATCTGGTCCAGCATTGGGCTCCTTCCTCAGCAGGGAGCCTGCTTCTCCCTCTGCCCCTCCCCCCACTTGTGCTCACTCTCAAATAAATAAATAAATCTTAAAAAAAAGGAAAAACCCTCTTTACTCCAAGATTAAAAAGGATTTTCCCCATGTTTTCTTCTTGACCTTTTATGATTCCACTGTTATACATTCATATCTTTTTGATTTGGATTTCATTCTGGTATGGTGTAAGGTATGGGCCCAATTTTATATTTTTTCATATGGCTATATTTTTGTCCCAATACCATTTATTGAATAATCCATCTTTATCCTTGGTGATTTCCCAGAATTATTTGGGTGTATTTCTGGATCTTCTGTTATACATCATTGGTCTATCTATTCATGAGTCAGTGACACACTGCTTTACTTATTGAGGCTTTATTATTTTTTAAAAGATTTTATTTATTTATTAGAGAGAGAGATAGCGAGAGAGAGCAAGAGCAGGAGTCAAGGGTAGAGGGAGAGGGAGAAGCGGACTCCTCGCTGAGCGGGGAGGACTTAGGGCTCTATCCCAGAACCCTGTGATCAGGACCTGAGCTGAATGAAGGCAGGTGCTTAACCAACTGAGCCACCCAGGCACCCCACTGAGGCTTTTAAGTATGTTTTCTTATCTAGTAGCCAGCCACCACCCTATTACTCTTTGTTTTCAAAGTTTTCCTGGCAGATTCTTTCTTTTGATTCTTTTTGATTTTTTCCCCATAAGTAAATTAGAATCACTTCATCTAGTTAAAAATAATTATTGGTGTTTCATAGGCATTTTATTTAAATTTATAAATTAATTTAGGGAGCACTGACATCTTTCTGATGTTAAATCTACTCATCGAAGAATATGATGTTTTTCTCCATGTGTTTAAGTGTTCTTTTGTTTTTAAAGTTTTATTCACATAGATCTTGTACAATTCTTATAAAAGTTTATTGATAGGTATTATATCATATTTATATAATCCTTGTATAATATTGAACTTTTGTATAATTTCATTTTATCTTCTAACTGGTAGTTAACTAGGTGCATGATAGCTATATATTTTTTTTCATTTTGATTATTGCTTGTTGCTGAATTCTCTTATTGTTTGTGTAGCTTTTCAGAGGATCCCACCTGTTTTTTGACCTGATGCATACATGAGAAATAAAATCCTGTTGTGTGAGGATACTGAGATTTTGGGTTTGTTGTTACTGGAGCATTTCCTAGCTATCCTGACAAATACAAGTGATAAAAAAAAAAAAGACACTCAACACACAAGTATTAGGGTAAAATTCTGTGGGGGCAGTGAAATTGAAGCAGTCAAGGAGAAAAGGGAACAATTAAATTTTTTGTTATAGAACTTACTCACGTATTTTTAAAATGGAAAAAGGTGGGAATTGAATTGCCATAGTGTTTATATTCTAGTGGATATTTGAAAGAGTAACATCGTTTTATTTAGAACTGTCAACATTCAGGGCTCCTGACTGGCTCAGTTAGTGGAGCATGCTACTCTTGATCTGGGGGTTGTAAATTCAGCCCCACATTGGGTGCAGAGATTACTAAAAAATAAAATCTTCAGAAGCACCTGGGTGGCTCAGTCCCTTAAGCAGCCAACTCTTGATTTGGGCTTAAGTCATGATCTGGGGTTTCTGGGATCCAGCCCAGTTCAGCAGGGAGTCTACTTGAAGAGGTCTTTTCCTCTCCCTGTGCCCCTCCCCGCCCAATAAATAAATCTTTAAAAAAAAGTCAACATTTACAGCTTGCCAGAAATCATGCCCTTTGCAACTACTTTAACCTACACTGAATTCTTACAGATGTGCCGGGTAAAGAGTCTTTAGAAACTGTACATACTAAGTGTCCCTCCGTATCAGTTATTCTCTGCTTGGTCAAGAAGGTAAACTGCCTGGGCTTTTTCTGCCAAGTACAGGCCCACAGGGTTGTCCTGCTTTCTCCAGGCCCTTCCAAAGAACCCATCCCAGCCTGCAACACAGGATTCCTCCACCTTTCTTCAAAGCAGACTCACTGACTCTCAGCTCAGGCAGGGAACTTGTGGGTCCTATTAATGTCACACAAACTGCTATAGCTGTTTTGGGAAAACTAAATCCGAGAACATTCCCTTAAAGAGCATGGACTCTGACGCCAGATGTTGGGGTTTGAATCCAGAGTGGGTTTCCTAATAGCGTGTTCTTGAAGGCTTATCAGTTTCTTTTTGTCTTAATTCCCTCATTTGCAAAATGATTACGGGTATTAACCTAATGAATGCAGAGTTTTGGAAACAGTGATTGGCAGAGTGAGCGGTGTCCGCGCTGGCAGCCTCTACTTGCTGCTCTGGCGTCGCTGAGGCGTGCTGTGTTGCGACCGCCCCTGCAATGTTCCAGGCCAGCCCCCGTGCCACTCGGTGGGATAGCACTTGGACTGCCCGCCACTACAGTAGCCCTGGCTGGGGGTGCTGAGCCTTGTCCTCAGTTGTCACCATCGAGCAGCACAGCCAGGACCGGGTCACACACCACCACCGCACCCTTGCGTCTTCATTTACAGAGGCTCCTGCAGTACGGTGGCTGTTTTAACAATACGAAATCGAAGACATATTTCTCATAAGAAATTAGTAAAACTCTATAATTATGTTCCAATGTGTTCCTTCCACATTGCATTAGTAGAAGGGCAAAAATAGCGTGAGGAAAAACAGTCCATATGAATGCCTATTCCGAAAGGTGGACACAGACGTCTACGTGGGCGCCGTTGGCCGCTCGGGTTACTCGCCCTCCAAGCCCCACACGGGGGGCTCTAGCGTACACAGACCAGCCCTGGGTCGCACGCCGCGCTGCGCCCGGCGGGCTCTCCATCCGGGCGCTTCTTAGACGCCGGCGGGAGCGCGCACGCCACCACCCTAGTCTGGACGGAGTCCTCCAGTCACGTGCTCAGCGCGCCCTCGCTGCGGCGCGCTCCAGGCGGAAGTGAGGTCGGCGGCTCGGTGGCTGCGCAGCGTCGGTGGGTAGCGCGGGCTGCGGAGAGGCGGGCCGGGCGGAGCGGAGCGACTGGAAGCGCGGGCCGGGGAGGCGGCGGCGGCGGCGACGGGGGACCTCGAGGCTCAGCCCCCGCATCGGAGCAGCCCTCCGCGGCGCTCGCCCCTCGCCGAGCCCCACCACCGAGCCCGCTCCGGGCCGGCGTGCGCTGGTCACCGAGGCCCAGCCCGCCGCCGCCGCCGCGGCGCGGTGAGTGCGGGCGGGCGCCCCCGGGCGGGGGTGGATGGGGGGGAACGCGGCGTCCTCTCGGGCCGGGGGCTGCCCGCGGGCCGAGGCGGCGGGCTCGGGCGGCGGCGCTACCCGGCCGGAAGTGCGGCGCTTTGTGCGGCCGGCCTGGGCGGCGCCAAGGTCGGGCCCGCGGCTCGGGGTCGCTTGGCGCCGGGGCGGGGGGACGGCCTGTCGGCCGCCGCGGACCGAACCCTGGCTGTGCTTTGTCCGGTGGGGCAGGCCGGGCAGCTGGGGGCCCGAGAGAGTCGGAGCTGGGCGCGGACCCGCGCTTGGGCAGGTGCGGTGTGGGCGGCCGGGGGTGGGGGGGGGGTTGCTGCTGCCCAGGTGGCCGGTGAGAGGTGGAGTCAGTGCACAAGACTGTTCTCTGGGCCTTACTAAGGTCCGACTTAGATCAGGTCAGGAATACGTATGAAAAAATGGGGAAGCGGCAAGGTGTTTTCTGTAACTTAGATTTAGAATTCTTGTGGTTGTAATCATTTCGAATGGGTAAACTATTCATTTTGTCTACCCACAAAGTGAAAATTAGTCCATTTGCCTGGCAGAAGCTTAGTGTTCGCCCTCCAGCTTGAAAGGCTTTTAATGATTTCTTCAGAAAGGACGTTTCGTGGCCCAGTCTGTTAACTTTGGGAAAAAGAGGTGTACCTTTGCAACCTGTCCACAAACAGGGTATTTTTCTTTCATAATATATGTAAGTGTGCGTCTAATGGATTGTATGAGTTAATGTTTTATTCAAGTCATACATAAAAATATTTTGGAGTGTTTTTGGCATGCAGGAAAAAATTTTAAATGAAAAATGTAGTCTTGTTCCCACCCCTTAAATTCTCAAGTCATCTTTGTGTAATTTGAGATTTTCTCAAATACTACATGAAAAAGTTTAGATTAAAAGTTTTTGCTGTGGACAATAATAGGGACACATTTGCAACTTTGGTTAAGTAAAGTAGTGGACTATTTTTGCTTTGACAGCCAATTGGATAACTTAAGGCTCTTCTTCCTAATGCTGAAGCTAGTGTGTGCACATTGTGAAGATTTTTTTGTTTTTCTTATAAAGCTGGCTTGTTTTGGTCGGGGTGTTTGCATGTTATGTTTAGTTGTGTTTGTGAGTAGATGGAATCTGAGGCTTGGTAGAGGTCTCCGAAGGCCTTGAGTTGGAGACAGCTGGCTTTCTGTGCGTTCTGCTGGGTGTGCTTGTGTGGCAGTCGCTAGAAATGCTGAGCAGGTAGCAGCATCCTGTCTTCCTGGTTCCTGCCCTTGGAAATAGTGGAAAGATTGGGTTGTGTGTATGAGGCAAGTGCCTGCATCTCAGGAGGAAGCACCATTTGCTGCTGTTGCTGTTACTGCCCCCTGCCCTTTTATCAGGCCCTGATATATTTGTTAGGATATTTAATTATTCTGCTCTACTTCGGCTTTTCGACTCATTTTCATTCTAAGATTAGAATTGTAATGCCAAAATCATTTGAATTTTTGAACATCAGGAAAATTAGTATAATGCCACAGAGGTAGAGGATTAGAATTGGGAAAAAAAGTTCATTTTAAAATATTTTAACTTCTTATAGGTTCTGTAGTTTAAAAAAAAATTTTTTTTTAAGTAGGCTCCACGGCCAGTCTGGAGCCCAACATGGGGCTTGAACCCACGACCCTGAGATCAAGACCTGAGCTGAAATCAAGAATTGAGGCTTAACACACTGAGCCACCCAGGCACCCCTATAGGTACAGGTTCTGTAGTTTAAAGGGAAATTTTTGTCTGCCAAACTTCTCACTTAAATAGCTTCTTTTCCAAGATAATTGAAACACTTTTAAAACAGTGGTACACCAGTGTAGTAGGGTAGTAGTTACTTTTCTCATGTCTGTGTTCCACTCTATATCTTTGTCTTCGAAGTCTCTCCAGTCCTGTGAGAAATACATGAATTTCTCCCAATAGATTGCAAACCGCAGTAGTGAAGGTAGAGTTTGAAGGAATTGAGAAGAACTTTGTCTTCTTATATGCTCTTCTTGATAGTATCAGACGTTGCTAAAAATTTCCAGTGTTGGTTGTGCTGAAGAGTATTATATCTTGTATATTGATGTCTCTGAGAGAAATAAAATTTAAGCCTCTTGAAATTAGTTTTGTTGATGTGAAATACTAATATAAAAGGCCTTCAGAGTTTTATAATTACCGTTGTACGTGAGAACTTTCTTTAGATCATCGTATCTTTTGAAACTAGGGAAAATAATACAGTGTTGGGTCTTAAATGTGTTTTATCTCTGATTATCTCTGGATTTTCAAATGCAGAAATTTTTGCTGTCATCTTTTTTAAAGGTAAATCTGAGATTTGTCTTTTCTGGTGCAGGTGTCAAACCGCCTGTAGGTATTCTGACAATTGAGTCATTCCAAATGGGGAGGAAAAAAGTGATACCCTCTGGGTCCAGTGTTGGAATTGGGGTCCTTGGTCCACAGTAAATCAGACTGGGAAATTGATGGTTTCTGGGTGGCCAGTGGCACTAGGATCCGAGGCAGAATGATGGTGTATTTTTTTCTTATTTTTTTGTTACGCAAACTTAAAAAGTATGAAAATACAGTATACAGCCATAACCCAGTATCTCAGCGTAACAATTATTAGCATTTTACTGTAATTTTCTTTTTTTGTAAGAATACTTAGAGACCATGTCATTTTTTAAATCTTGTATGCTTTAGCATGTACTTTTTTTTTTTTTTTAAGATTTTATTTATTTATTTGACAGAGATGGCGAGAGAGGGAACACAGGCAGGGGGAGCGGGAGAGGGAGAAGCAGGCTTCCCGCAGAGCAGGGAGCCCGAGGCGGGGCTCAATCCCAGGACCCTGGGATCATGACCTGAGCCGAAGGCAGACGCTTAACCGACTGAGCCACCCAGGCGCCCCTTTAGCATGTACTTCTGAAAAATGGTGTCTTTACATAACCAAAATGCTATCACCACACCTAGCAAAATTAATGCCATTTGATATTTAGCCCATATTCACTTGTGTCCCCAAATCCTTAAAATAGCTTTCTACAGTTTTTTCAATCTAAACCGAAATCCAAACAAAACTACCTAATTTTTTTTTTTTTTTAAGATTTTATTTATTTATTTGACAGAGAGAGACACAGTGAGAGAGGGAACACAAGCAAGGGGGGTGGGAGAGGGAGAAGCAGGCCTCCCACTGAGCAGGGAGCCCGATACGGGGCTCGATCCCAGGACCCCAGGATCATGATCCGAGCCGAAGGCAGACGCTCAACAACCGAGCCACCCAGGCACCCCTACCTAATGGTTTTTATGTCTAAATCTATTTTATTTTATTTTTTTAATTTTTATTTTATTTTATTTTATTTATTTGACAGAGAGAAACACAGCAAGAGAGGGAACACAAGCAGGGGGAGTGGGAGAGGGAGAAGCAGGCTTCCCACCAAGCAGGGAGCCCGATGTGGGACTTGATCCCAGGACCCTGGGACCATGACCTGAGCCGAAGGCAGACGCTTAACGACTGAGCCACCCAGGTGCCCCGTCTAAATCTATTTTAATCTAGAACTGCCCTCCCCGCCTCCCCAGCCCCCTATCCCCACCAGTTTTCAGACCATTGACTTACTAAAGAAACTGGGTTATTCGTCTAAGATGCCCCATCTTTTGGGTTTGTCTGATTGCTTCATGGTGTTGTTCTCTATTCCTCCAACTTCTTTTTCTGTAAACTAGAAGTTGGATGTATAGGATTCATTAGATTCAGATTGTAATGTTTTTGTAGTAGTACACCTTAGGTGATGCAGAGGAATTCTATCATATGAGCATGCACATAATGTTAAATAGTTTGATTTCTGGTAATGTTAATTAAGATTGGCCAGTGGGTTCAGCTTTCATAGTCACTAATCAATAAACAGATGCGTTTCAACTATTCTGAGTTATATTTGAAATAAATATCTCATCTTCATTTTTTTTTTTTTTTTAAGGAAGCTCTACACCCAGTATGGGGCTTGAACTCAACTACCCTGAGATAAAAGAGTTACATGCTCTGACTGAGCCAGACAGGCGCCCCTCAACTTCATATTTATTGCTGTGAAAAGTTATATTTTCTATCACATAATTCTTCAAAAACATTCAGAAGATATATGTTAACTACCTGTGTGCCTAGCACTGGTGAGATACAGGAAGACAGAGCTGAACAAAGTATTTTCCCTGTCCTTGAGGGTCAGAATCTTGGGGGGAATCTCATTATTTGAACAAGTAACCAAAGAAGCTTTTTTTTTTTTTTTTTTTGGCATTAATTCACAGACTTTGCCTTTATATTAGTCAGGCCCTTTTATTGGATAGAGGGAACTGCAACATTTTCTTTCATCAATCTTGTTATATTTCTTCCTAATATTTTTTAAATTCATTAAGATTTTTTAGTCTCTTTAGGAAACATTATCCTCTGGGGAGGTAAAAATGCTTTTAGGAAATATAACTTCTGGGTAGTTTGGAACTTACGGTATTGAGAATTTAAATACAATTCTATACACTTTTTAGTGACAAGCATATAGTAGAATTGTATTATTGGTTTACACTGAGATCCTTAGGTGAGCCTTGTGGTGTTCAGTGCTTCATTTGAGTTGTTTACAGTTTTTGGCTGTTACGAATAATAAACATTCGTGTACAGATTTTTGTGTGGATGTATGTTTTCATTTCTCTTAGGTATTTACCAAGGAGTAGAATTACCAGGTTATCTGGTAACTCTTGTGTTAATCTGCTATGCTATTCATGAGCTTCAGTGCCTACCAGATGACATCTGCTCAGCCCCACATTTAAGGGTCTCCACATGATGGTTCTAAGAAACTAACCTGTGTTTCCATAATTATCTTTGTTGTTTCCCTATAAGCCCAATTGCCCAATATTCCAAAAGTGCATTTTACATTTTCTCACTTCAGTGGCTTTTTACTTGTTCAGAGCTTATTGGAAATACTACCTCTGTAATCAAGTTTTTCCTGACCATTCCTCCCCTCATCTATTGAATTTTTGCTCTCTCCACTTAACCCTCAGAACACTTTATTCCTTAATGGTACTTAATGTGTCTGTTAATACTCTTTGCCCTGTATCACCATTAGTCATGTCTTTGTCTTATAGTCCTGAGTTCTCCAATACAATAGCCATCACCTATGTGTGACTGTTTAAGTTAAACTAAAATGCAGTTCTTTAGTTGTGCTAGCCACACTTCACGTGTTCACTAGCCAGCCATTAGTGGCTACTTTACATGGACAGTTACCATACATTTTCATCTTCACAGAAGGTTCTGTTGGACAGCACTTTCCTAGATTGTAAACTCAGAAGCTTGTGACTTGCTCTTTTTGTTTTCTCTGTGGCCTTTGCATAGTGTTTTCCTTATCTTGAATTCAATTGAGAAAGTAAAATTAGGTTCTGGCACGGAATAGAGAAACAAGAGTTTTGGGAATTATATACTTTCTCAACAGATCATAATTAAAGCACAGAGAGAGATGGAATTTATGAGCGCTACCACAATTCTTCTGTTGGAGATCCACCAAGAATGGGTTAAAAGTGCAGGATAATAGGGGTTGGCAATTGCTAGTTTTTATTCTTTTTTTTTTTTTTTTTTTAAGTAGGCTCCATGCTGGGTGTGGAGCCTAATGCAGTGCTTGAACTCCCGACCCTGAGATCAAGAGTCAGACGCTTAACCAGCTGAGCCACCCAGGTGCCCCCCCAGCTTGTTTACTTTCTTTCTTTCTTTCTTTTTTTTTTAAGATTTTATTTATTTGAGAAAGAGCACAGCAGGGATGAGAGGGAGAAGCAGGCTCCCCGCTGAGCAGGGAGCCCGACGTGGGGCTCTATCCCAGGACCCCACTGGGATCATGACCGGAGCCCAAGGTAGATGCTTAATGGACTGAGCCACCCAGGCGCCCCCCCCAGTTTGTTTATTCTTAAACTATGTGGTAAGATACATAATCGATTGATTCTCCTGCTTACTTTTTGTGTCTTCCTATCCTTGTTTTCTCTCATCTGTCTCATAGACTTGTGCTGTCCATGTGGTAGTTCCTAAGCACATAGGACTATTTAAATCTAAGTTGAGGCTCATTTGGTGGAGCGTGACTCTTGATTTAAGGGTCATGAGTTCAAGCCCCTTGTTGGGTGTAGAGATTACTTTAATTAATTAATTAAAAAATTTAAGTTGAGGTCAGATAAAATTTAAAAATCAGATCTTGCACTAGCCACAGTTTTGAGTGCTCAGTACTTTTTTTTTTTAAGATTTTGTTTATTTATTTGACAGAGAGAGAGACAGCGAGAGAGGGAACACAAGCAGGGGGAGTGGGAGAGGGAGAAGCAGGCTTCCTGTGGAGCAAGGAGCCCGATGTGGGGCTTGATCCCAGGACTCTGGGATCGTGACCTGAGCCGAAGGCAGACGCTTAACGACTGAGCCACCCAGGCTCCTGGGTGCTCAGTACTTTTAGCTAATGGCTGCCATATTGGAAGGCACAGATAGAGAGCATCTTCATTGTTGCAGAGAGTACTGCACTGATCTAGACTAATCTCTTAGCTGTAATTGTGGATGGCATAGTAGGTTTGGCTTAGAAGTTTTTTTAAAAAAAAAAAGTCAGACAATTATTTAGGTAAGAACGTCCCAATCACTGATGTTCCCAGTTTATTCCTGATTTAGACTAGAACTTGTTACAAAGGCTAGGGATGTGACCGGGTGTGTTTTTGTGTGTACTGAACTGCTTGATTGTGAATATTTTAAATGAGTCAGGTAAGCTGAGACTTGGAAGTGGTTAATTTTTGCAATATGTTTTTGTAATGGAATTTGATACCTACAGTGTTTGAAGGTGCATGTGTTTTTAGAAAGTCAGCCGGTCAGGCGCCTGGTGGCTCAGTTAGTTGGGCGTCTGCCTTTGGCTCAGGTCATGATCCCAGGGTCCTGGGATTGAGTCCTGCTTTGGGCTCCCTGCTCTGCCAGGAGCCTGCTTCTCTGTCTGCCTGTCTCTCATGAATAAATAAAATCTTTTTTTTTTTTTCTTAAAGAAAGTCAGCAGGTACTTGGACCTGTTTTGTGCCAGCAGTATTATTGGCACTGGAGATACTGCACTAAATAGGACCAAGTCCTTGTTCCCTGTCTGCCCCAGGCTACTTTCTAGTTGGGGATGTAGTAGGGGAGGCAGACACTAAGTATGTATGTGTACATTTTATTTATTTTTAATTTTTAATTTTATTTATTTTTAAGTAGGTTCCACATTGTGCACGAAGCCCAACGTGGAGCTCGAAATCATGACTGTGAGATCAAGACCTGAGCCATCCAGCCACCCCTCTTTATTTTTATTTTTAAGTAGACTTTTTTAGAGCAGTTTTAGGTTCATAGCAAAATTGAGCAGAAGGTACAGAGTTCCCATATTACCTGTTGCCTGCTATCCCCCTCCCCTGTACCATTTTTATTTTTAAATTTAAGATCCCCTTAATCCTTACTACCACATAAATCAGTGAGTGACTTACTAGGTGAGGAATACAGAGTAGTCTTAATTAAACTCAAACTTTCAGAATACTTTGGGTGATAGAATTCAGAGGAGCTTGCTGGAGATACTGATGAAAATTATATTTTACTTTTCGGGAAGAGGTAAAATCATGGTTGTGGTTGTGCAAGCTCTTGAACTTTTCAGGAAAAAAAGATTATGAAAAAACATTGGATGGGTTAATAGAGTTGCTGGGCTACAGCTGATTTGTCTTTTAAAGAAAATATATACATATTTAACAAAAGCTACTTAAGAAATAGAGAAAAGTGTAAAAACAACACTAAACCTACTCCATCTAGAGATCATCTTTGTTCGTATTTTTATATTCTCCCAGACCTTTTCTGTTTGTGCTGGAAGTGCACATGCCTGTACTACATGTAGGTGCAGATTTGGGATCATACTGCACAATGCAGCATTGTTCTTTTCCTTTCATCACATAACTTTATATCAGTCATGTTTTTAAACACTTTAAAAAGTAGCTGTATAGGGCGCCTGGGTGGCTCAGTTGGTTAAGCGACTGCCTTCGGCTCAGGTCATGATCCTGGAGTCCTGGGATCGAGTCCCGCATCAGGCTCCCTGCTCGGCGGGGGGTCTGCTTCTCCTTCTGATCCTCTTCCCTCTTGTGCTCTCTGTCTCTCATTCTCTCTCTCTCAAATAAATAAATAAAATCTTTAAAAAAAAAAAAAGTAGCTGTATAGTATTTCATATTCTCGATAGACCTGGTTTCCTTAACTATTTTTGTTATAAGGACATTTAGATTATAAGAACACTTTTTCACTGTTTTAAGCAGGAATGTAGAGAACACTTTCCCGTAGCTTCTGATGGACTGAAGAAGTTGTAAAGGAAAGATTACAGTGTTTAGGTGGGCTTTCATCAGGACTTCCGGCCTTCCTTTTCTGTGTTGGTTGGCAGCAGCATGAAATGCCTTGTTTTTAGTAAACTAGAGAAGGGACTCTTGCTGCCTGTTCTTTTGCGAGTGATATTGGAAAAAAAACGGAGAATAAAAGTGCTTGGCTAAACCACTTTTTTTTCCTTTTTAGTTCTTGAAATCATGAATCCTGTTTATAGCCCTGGTTCTTCTGGGGTTCCCTATGCAAATGCCAAAGGAATTGGTTATCCAGGTAAGCATGTAAAACTTTGTTTCATTATTGAACTTTGAACACTTGGTAAATTTCCTTGTTGCTCAGAATGCTTTCAATTGACAAACCTAGCTCAAAGTGATTTACACAAGAAAACGTTTTGGGCATGGAACTGAAAAATCAAGAGCTAGGACTGGCTTTGGTCAAAGCTTGATTTGGTGGCTCCAACAGTTGGACTAGGATCTAGTTTCTACCGCCTGGGCTCAGCTTCACTTCCTCAGGATTGGCTCAGTGTTGGTCACAGGTTACATATCTCCCCGTTGTGATCTCTTTGTGGTGTTCAGCAACCCCCCACCCCAAGCAGTACCCTGACTAGGAGCCTCTTTATCTCTGCTCTACAGGAAACCCCCCTGGGGCTTCTTGTTCTCTAATCAGACCAGTCCTGGGGTGTGTTCTGATTGCACTCAGCTACCATCCCAGGGCCAGGGAGGGAATTCTACTAATTAATTTATGCCTGAGCCACTTTCCCTCGTTACTGGAGTCAGCTAGTCGAACATGGGCTGTGAGGGAGGCAATAAAGCAAAATTTGGGGGAATAGCTGGTTGGTTGAAAATAGCAGATGGACATCCTAATTGGTGACATCCAATAAGGAGTAATTATTTGTAATGTTACAGTTTTATTGTGGGTTTTGATAATATGGTGGAACAGATCATCTTAAAATCTTGTTGCTAAAAAAGTCTCTAGAAAATTGAACAAAACATCTTGAGAAATGTGTAACTGAACTGGCAGGGGTAGTAAGCAAAATATCTGTGCTAAATATGAAAGTGACCTAAAAACCAGTGCGTTTGGCCATTGAACTGATGATGTGCCTGTCTTGGGGGCATTTGCTTTTTGTGGGTTTTGATAACCCACATGGGGAGAGAAAGTGAGGCCTTAGGCCCTTGTGAGTCTGGGGCTTGGAGGTGGGACCCCTCATCAATCTGGTTCCTCCAGAGGGTGGTACTCCCAGGGAAAAGGTAGATTAAAAAAATCCTTTCACTGGTTCCACGAGGGAATTTTGTCTCTGCTTGGGCTCTAGGAAGGGGAAATCTTTGCTAAGACTTTGTAACCAGTCAGGGATGTTGGAGGCTCTACTTTGTATTACTTACTTTGGGGGTGGGGGGGGCTCATAATTGAAAAACTAACATAAAAAGTAGTCTGCAGCCTACATTACCCCCAGCACTTGACAGCAGCAAAAGCAGAACTGCTGTGGAGGCACATGTCCTCATTCCAGGTTGTGTGGGTTTTCCCACAAAATTCTGCCTGTTAACAATGCAAAATTATTATGAAACGTGACTTCTTCATCACCTAAGAGTTACCAGTCATGATAGATTGCACGAGTAGAACATCAAATAGATACCGCATCACACAAGTTTAGAATAATTGAAGATCTAAAAGAGTCAGAATATAAGAGGGGAACAAGATACTGGGGTGGGGGGAGAACCAACTGGAACTTAAATGAAAAAGCAGTGGCATTTGAACAAAATTCAGGTTAAATTGCAGGTAAAACACTGCTAAATGGGAGAACTAGGATGCAGAATAAAGAAAGAGGGGGCAATAGGAGACCAGTTAAGAAATCGAGATGTCAGAATCAGATTTGGGGAGAATTAAGAGCTCCAGAAGGACTGAATAGAGAGACAAGAAGAGGAGTGACAGAATTTTCCAGAATTGATAAAAGGTAATTTAGTAATAAGACCTGTTGTCTTTAAATTATCAAGACTAGTTTAAACAGAATGCCAAGTAGCTTCCTGAGAATCCTGAGTGGATCTAGAGCAAGGGATAAAGGCAAAACCCGATGGCATTAGTTTTACCTGATAGACTTTTTAATAAAACAATGCCTGTCATATTCCAGTTCTATGCAAGGTGTCTAAATTTTGTTCCAGTTCTTTGGTTGGTCAAAAACAGGGTTTGACAAAGTTTATGTAAAGGTCCAGGTGTAGTACATATTTCAGGCTTTGTGGGCCATAGCATCTCTGTTGTAACTCCTCAGCTCTGCCTTTCCAGAGCTAAAGCAGCTGTAGACAATACTGAGTGTGTGTGTTTCAGTAACACTGAAAACAGACTCAGTAGGCTGATTTTTTTCCCCCCCAGCAATAGGAGTGACTTTTCAAATACTTTTTTTCTGCTCCCTTCTTCTCTCTTGGGACTCCATTTATAAGTATATTAGACCATTTTACTCTGTGTCACATCTGTTGCATCCTTTTCCATATTTTACAGTTTCTTCTGTGAGTTTTAATGTGGATATTTTGTACCTGTCTGCTTCCATTTCATTAACTCTGCTAATTTTTCTCTAATTTACTATAAAACCCATTCATTGAATCTTTTAATGTACTTCATTTTTTTTTTTTCTCGAACAGCATACTACTCACAGTTATTCTAAAGACTTTGTTGGTTGACTGCAGCCTGTGAGTCACCTGTGGGTTTGTTTCTATGGTCAGTTTGTCTTATTCTTTTGTTATTCAACTATGCAGTTTTGTCTCTTGGCATGCCTAATGTTTTTTCATTGAATGTAATACACAGTATATTAAAAATTGTAGGTGGTCCAGTTGCTGTCTTCCCTGTGAGGCAGATAGCATGCTGATTAGCTTTTTTTTTTTTTTTTTAAGATTTTATTTATTTGACAGAGAGAGACACAGTGAGAGAGGGAACACAAGCAGGGGGAGAGGGAGAGGGAGAGGGAGAAGCAAGCTTCCTGTGGAGCAGGGAGCCCAGTGCGGGGCTTGATCCCAGGACCTGGGACCATGACCTGAGCCAAAGGCAGACACTTAACAACTGAGCCACCCAGGTGCCCCTGATTAGCTTTTTTTTTAAACAGCTTTATTGAGGTATGATTGACAAGTACAAATTATATGTATTTAGGTTGTACAAGTTTTTTTTTTTTTTAAGGTTTATGTGATGATTTAATATATGTATACACTGTGAAATGATTACCATAATTGAGTATCTTCAAATACTGTCACATTTGGGGGTTAGAATTTCAGCACATAAATTTTGGAGGAGACACAAATACTCAGTTCATATCGTGGCCACACTCCAATTTGTCCATATACTCTAATTTCTCTTTTGTTAACACAAAAGGTAATGGACACGGAGATGAAATTAGGGAAGAAGGCATTTTGGGGGAACATTTGTGAAAGATCTAATGAAGAGGATGCAGAATCAGGTAGGGGGAGCCTCAGGACTGTGCTACACTTTGCTGAATTCTTAACCAGCTCATGGGGGAGCTGTGAGGGAAGGATTGGAGGTTAGAGGAGGCCCTCATTAGGCAAAAGTGGCCTTTGGAGGCGCTGCTGCCAGAGGCTGTCCGCCCATGTACTATTCGTGGCTGAACAGGGGCTTCTTCCCTGGAATAGAGATTCAGGTGGTGATGTTCGCTTTGCTTTGTCAACTCAGTATATTCTAGAATCATTCCATCTCGGTTTACAAAGGTTTGCCTCTTGTTCTTTTTTACATTTTGCACAGTACTGCTGTGTAACCTGCATCTTGTGGGGTTTCCATAGTTTATTCAACCAATTTTTGGATAGATGTGTTGTTTGAAGTATTTCAGTATTCCAGTAATATTGCAGCTTATGTTGATTGTGGAAATTATCTTCAGAGTGGGTTCTTTGAGATGGGATTGCTGGGTGAGAGTGTAAATGCATACTTTTTTTTTTTTTTTAAGATTTTATTTATTTATTTGAGACAGAGAGAATGAGAGACAGAGAGCATGAGAGGGAGGAGGGTCAGAGGGAGAAGCAGACTCCCTGCCGAGCAGGGAGCCCGATGCGGGACTCGATCCAGGGACTCCAGGATCATGACCTGAGCCGAAGGCAGTCGCTTAACCAACTGAGCCACCCAGGCGCCCAATGCATACGTTATTTTTAAGATGCTTCTGATTTCCCCTCCATAGGATTTTTACTGTTTTGTATTCCTACCAGAAGTCTGTGAGGCAATGGTTTCCCCATAGTCTTGCCAACAAAGTGTGTTTTCAGCTTTTGGAGTTTTGCCAGTCTGATGTTAGAAATGGGATCAGTGTAGTAGTTGGCAGTTCTGTCCATGTCCTTCTACTGATTTTTTTTTTCTATTGGTGGTTTTTTTTTTTTTTTTTAGTTTTAAGAGTTATATTATTAAGTTTTTGTATTTTTGTATGTATTAAGTTTTTGTCTATATAATTTGCAAGTATTTTTTCTTTTATTTTTTTTTACTTATGGTATTTTCTGTTTTGAAGTTTTTTATTTTCATGAAGTGATTAATCTCATAAAAGTGGTTAGGATTTGGGATCACATAGTCTCTTATAAGAGAGGCTTCTGGGCAGTGTAGTTTCTAGCTTTCCAGAGTTTCTGTCCTAGAAGGGAGCTAGACCAGATGTTGAAGGAAACAGTCCACAGTACTTGCTGTGAGGGGCATTTTTAGGAAGACAGTGCTGTGGCCAGAAAGATTGACAGGGATAGGAAGGAATAGTGCTTCTCAACCTTGTTGATTGGAGCCCTGCAGGTTAGAATTTTCTTGAAAAATGAAGAAACAGAAGATGCTACAACCAGTTAAAATAGTGTTTGTGGGGCTCCAGGGAGATAGTCCTTTCAAGGGTTTCTATGTGGGGGTTTTATATGGCCAGAGTGGAAGTGTATGTGTGGGATTTGGTGGTATGTGAGTGGTGTGTGAGGGTGGTGTACTTCTGTGCGCAGGCATAGAAGCAGGGATGTCCTGTTGCTGGTGGTTAATTAATGCTGTTTTAAATACTTGTTATGTGGCTTTTCTTTTTCATTTTAGAGCATGTTAACTCACTGTTAGAAGGCTAGGATAGGAAGGGCCAAGCAAACATAATAGTAGTGTTTCAGGAGCTCTTAGACACAAGACAAGTACAGAAGCAGACAGTGCCCCGGAGGATTTATTGGTAGAATTTATGGAGAGATGAGGACGTTTGGATTTTGAGGGAATTGTTGCAGAAGCCTAGGTCAGTAGTATTTTAAACTTTTCTTTTTTTTTAAAGATTTTATTTATTTATTTGACAGAGAGACACAGCGAGAGGGGGAATACAAGCAGGGGAAGTGGGAGAGGGAGAAGCAGGCTTCCCGCTGAGCAGGGAGCCCGATGTGGGGCTCGATCCCAGGACCCTGGGACCATGACTTGAGCCGAAGGCAGACGCTTAACATCTGAGCCACCCAGACACCCCTTAAACTTTGTTTTTAACAATGAAACCTTAGAAAGGATTTGTAAGTGGTTCCTTAGTACTAAGATGAGTTAGAGCATTTCCCAGGGTGAATTTCGGGCAGGCTCCAGAGCCTGCTTGGCCTCCTGCTGCTCATAGTTGAGGCCTCTAAGGAAATGCTCAGGGTTCATAGAACACAGATTGAAAACCACCTTCCTGGTCTTTTAAAAATAGCCATTTTAGGTCTCTTTCAAGTGGAATCTGTCCTTGATGTTCACAATGAGAGAATCTGGTAAGCATTTGATCCCCTCACAGTTCTCTAAGTAATTGGACAAAAAGGAAAATAATAATATAGGAAGGAAACTCAAAATAGCTTCTGCTGAGGTGTAGGGGAGGTTCAGTCTTGAGAAAGAAGAAGGCGACTCCGAAGCAGAGGATTTGTATATGACGTGAAAACTGGGCACTTGCAAGTAGGGATTCCTTGGGAGCAGTGGGACTGAACACTTCTGTCCCTGCCCTTGGAGGAGCCCATGGAACCTACAGGACAGCTGGAGCAGGAGGTGCAGCAGAGCAAGGTCATCCAAGCTGTGCTGGAGACTGCAGGGATTCCTGTAAGGCACCTTATCCAAAACCTTTACAAATGACATCCAGACCCACAAAGATGACCTTTAGAATTCTACTCTGAACTCTACTCCGTTTTCTCCTTTATGTTATCCTACTACCCTTACGTTTTTTTCACTTCGGTTACTCTCAACCACCACAGTACCTGAGATATCCCTAGTGTCCTCAACAGTGTCTTTTGAAGTCTGCCTTTCCATTTCAACTTTATTTATAGGTGAGGGGAAAGAGGGAAAGAGAAGTTAACAGGTTTTCACAACTAGTTTGTGACAGTAGTAAAGACTAGGGAATGTGGGTCATCTTTGTTGGCTCTGTGCCCTGAATATAAGGAAGTAGATTCTAATGCTTTAGCTGTCACATGAGTGCAGCATTTTGAACTGTGAACCAGACAGGTCAGGGGAAGGCCTGGGCATGGGCCTTACAGGGGTCCCTAGGCTCCGAGGAGGCCAGGAGCAGGTAACTGAGGCCCCTTTGCTGGTGGATGGCTGGTAGCCAGGATTTTGACTGTAACACTGTCTTAGTTGATGTTTTTGTTGTATTCACATGAATTAGTAGTGGTTATGGTTTAGTGTTATTAAGGATTCCTCATTTATATTAATAAAGATTAGGTTGCTTGCAAGAGGGTTGTGAGATTGGATTTTTCCCATTTCCGTGTGTCAGTGGTGCCAGTTAATGGCCCCTTCACCACACAATTTCTTAGCATTCTTACTACTGTTGCTAAGTAATAAATTATGTGATGAAAATCTACAATAAAACTGCCAGAAGTATTAGGAGTTTCCTGACTTCAGCTTAGGTTTGTTTTTTTGTTTTATTTTTTGGCGTTCTCAGTTTTCTGGCGTATTTTTTCAATTGTAAGAAGTCGTAAGCATTTACTTACAGGTTTAAAAGACTTGATTATGTTCGTGATCCTTTCCAAATTTTTTTTAAATTTAAATTCAAGTTATCATACGGTATATTATTAGTTTCAGGGTAGAGTTTAGTGATTCATTGGTTGCATATAACACCCAGTGCTCATTACATCAAGTGCCCTCCTTAATGCCCATCACCCCCCCCACCTACTTGCCCCCCAGCAACCCTCAGTTTGTTCCTTGTAGTTAAGAGTCTCTTATGGTTTGTCTCTCTCTGTTTTTATTTTATTTTATTTTCCCTTTCTTTCCCCTTACGTTCATCTGTTTCTTAAATTCCATATGTGAATGAAATCATATGGTATTTGTCTTTCTCTGGTTGACTTACTTCGCTTAGCATAATACCGATGTTCCATGCACATTGTTGGAAATGGTAAGATTTCATTCTTTCTTATGACTCAGTAATATTCCCTTGTATATATATACCACATCTTCTTTATCTATTCATCTGTAAATGGATATCTGTGACCCATCCCAATTCTGAGGAAAGGAGACAACTAGTGACAAACTGCTTATCATATGTAATACTGTTGGGCTCCTTAAGTCAGTCTGTGGAGCTTGATGAAGAAGGTAAGAATGACTGGGTCTGTGGGAGCCATGGTTGTAACATTATGTTACTCCTTCAGGTGGTGATATCCCATTGTTCTTTTTCTCCAGCTGGTTTCCCCATGGGCTATGCAGCCGCAGCTCCTGCCTACTCCCCCAACATGTACCCTGGAGCGAATCCTACCTTCCAAACAGGTATGCAGTGTATATGTGCTGGCTGGCAGAAGTGCTTTGTCTGCGTGGCTGGGGGAGAATGTAAGTGGGTAGGTTTTGAGAAGTGTGGTTATAGAATTGGGATTTGGGTTTGAATTGATTTCTTGGTTCATAAGTTCAGCCTTGTTGATGAGTGTGATAAAAACTTTATTCTTACTGCATGTAAAACTTCAGACGCTGCATTTCTGATGTTCTTCCACAACATAGATCTTTATTCTAATCATACGTTGTTACAGGTGACTAGTGCCAGGACACGTATTTATGAAATAGTGTTGATTACTAGAAATTAAAGATCATTTTGCCTAGTTAATAGGTGGAATTTCCATGTTGCTAACGTTTTTAGAGATGACTGATTTCTCTCCAGTGTTTTAGCACTCTGGTTATAGTTCTGTTATTTTTTCTTTCAAGTGTGGGTGATAATGTTACATTAGTTTCAGGTGTACAGGATAGTGATTCTACAGATGTACTTTATGCTATTCGTACCACAAGTGTAGCTACCATCTGTCACCAGACAACCCTATTACAGTACCACTGACTATATTCCCTATGCTGTCCCTTTTATGGTTTTAAAACAAAGTCTTATTTCATATGCATGAGAATATTTTTAGATTTTAGAAATCAGTGATACAGTTGAAAGTTAACTTGGTTTGGGTCTGAACTTTGTAAAGAGAGTGGGACTTTCCTCTGTGAGTTTGTACTTTGGTGTGGGCTTGTTCCAGGCTTTACTCACTGACACTGGACTTTGTGATTCTCCTGCAGCAGTGGTGGCCCACACTGACCTCAAGTCTTGGCCTCATGGATCTGCTGGGGTGCTTCACTTTTTTCACCTTGAAACCCCTAGCCTCACACAGTTAACTTTGACAGAAAAGGAGATAGGAGTAGTGTCCTTTCCCTGAATTCTCCGTATTTTGCTAATCATAAAATTCTTCCTTCTGTGACCCTTCTGTCTCTTTCTCCTTTTCTATGCCTACTCTGACTGCATTTGTTCAGCTTGTAGCTCACACCCAGACAAGGACCTTGGCTTGCTTATCCTGCTCCCAAGCCTTTTCACCTCTGGTTCATGTTCCCTCCCTGCTTACACCAGAGTAGTGTTCTCAGATGAAGGTTTCCTGTGACTGTAAAGGCGAGACTCTCAACTTTAAAAATCTAGTTCTTTGCCATATTGGCCGGTTCTTTCCAAAATATTTTTGTTTTATGTTTTTGCCAGCTTTTACTTTCTTTCTTTCTCTCCCACCTGGCCTAGAGTACCTGCTACAAATGCCTATCTTTTGGGATCAGTTATGGAAATCCCTTCCCTGGGATCAGCAATATTACGTTACTTACTGGATTTTTTTTTAATTTAATTTTATTTTATTATGTTTAGTGTTTGATGTAGTGTTCCATGATTCATTGTTTTCGTATAACACCTAGTGCTCCATGCAATACGTGCCCTCCTTAATACCCATCACTGGGCTAACCCATCCCCCACCCCGTCCCCTGTGAAACCCTCAGTTTGTTTCTCAGAGTCCATAGTCTCTCATGGTTCGTCCCCCCCTCCGATTTCCCCACCTTCATTTTTCCCTTCCTTCTCCTAATGTCCTCATGCTATGCCTTATATTCCACAAATAAGTAAAACAATATGTAGTTGACTTTCTCTGCTTGACTTATTTCACTTAGCATAATCTTCTCCAGTCTCATCCATGTTGATGTAAAAGTTGGGTATTCATCCTTTCTGATGGCTGAGTAATATTCCATTGTATATATGGACCATGTCTTTATCCATTCGTCTGTTGAAGGGCATCTCGGCTCTTTCCACAGTTTGGCTATTGTGGACATTGCTGCTAACATTGGGGTGCATATGGCCCTTCTTTTCACTATACCTTACTGGATTCTTCAACAGCTAAATGGCACCACCCATCTCTTTTTGTAAAACTTCTCAGGTTGTTTAACTTTTTAAAAGTAGTTCTCTTGAGGTGTAGATGACATACAGTACATTGTACATATTTAAAGTGTATAGTTAGATAATTTTTGATATAATGTGTATAAACCTCACATATGTATCACCTTCACAGTTGGGAGTAAACATAGCTCTCATCACTAAAAGTTTTCTCCTGCCCCTTTGTAATCTCCACCAGGATATCCAGGAAATCACTGATCTGTTTTCTCTCACTGTAGATTGCTTTATTTTCTAAAATTTTGTATAAATGAATCCTATGGAATGTACTCTTCTTTTTCAGACTGCTTTCATTCAACATAATTAACATCCATGCCATAGTGTTTATCAGTAATTGGTTCCTTTTTATTGTGGGGTTCCATTGTTTGGAAATACCACAATTTGCTTACCCATTTGCCAGTTGATGAACGAATGGATTATTTGCAGTTTGGGGCTGTTAAAGATGAAACTGCTGTGAATAGCTCTGTACAAGTCTGTGTGGATATATGCTTCATTTCTCTTGAGTAAATACAAAGGAGGGGAGTGGCTGGTTCTCAAAGCACGTGTATATTTAACTTTGTAAAAAATTGCCAAACTGTCTTCCAAAGTGGTTGTACCATTTTATGTTCCCATCCACAGTGTATGAGAGTTCCAGTTCCTTTACCTCCATGTCAACACTTGGTATGGTCATTCTGTTTAATTTTAGCCATTCTAGGGGGTGTGTAGTAATGTCTCATTTCAGTTTTAATTTGAACTTAACCTAATGACTAATAATGTTGAGCATCTTTTCATGTGCTTATTTGCCATCTGTAACGGCTTTGGTTAAGTGTGTACATCTTTATTGTATGACAGTTTTTGAGTTTGTTTTCTTATTGTTCAGTTTGAGACTTGTTTTACAGATGATTTGCAGCTATTTTCTCCCAGTCTGTGGCTTTTTTCATTTTCTTAACAGTGTCTTTAGAAGAGCAAGAGTTTTTGTGTGTGTGTGTGTGTGTGTGTGTTTTTTAAGATTTTATTTATTTGACAGAAACAGCGAGAGAGGGAACACAAGCAGGGGGAGTGGGAGAGGGAGAAGCAGGCTTCCCGTGGAGCAGGCAGCCCGATGTGGGGCTCAATCCCAGGACCCTGGGATCATGACCTGAGCTGAAGGCAGACGCTTAACGACTGAGCCACCCAGGTGCCCCGAAGAGCAAGAGTTTTTATTTATTTATTTATTTTTTAAGATTATTTATAAGTAATCTCTACACCCAGCATAGGGCTTGAACTTCCAATTCCAAGATCAAGAGTCGTTTGCTCCACCAACTGAGCCAGCCAGGCGCCCTAAGAGCAAGAGTTTTTAAATTTAATGATTTTCAGATTATCGTTTTGTTCATTTATGGGTCATGTGTTTGGTGTTATTTCTAAGAAATATTTGCCTAACCCAAATCACAAAGATGTTCTCCTGTTTTCTTCTAGTTTATAGTTTTGGCTTTTACATTTAAGTCTGTTGCCCATTTTGGTTTAGTTTTTGTATTTGATGGGAGGAATAAATTGAAGTTCATTTTTCTGCTTAAGAATTAGTTGTTAGCAGATCACCATAAAATGGCACATTGTAGAATTTTCCATGGTAGCTCACCTATATTCATTTTCTTCTTGGAGTACAACAAGTTAATGTAAAATTGTAGTAAAAGCGGGGTGCCTGGCTGGCGCTGTCAGTTAAGTGTCCAACTCTTGGTTTTGGCTCAGGTTGTGATCTCAGGGTTGTGGGATCAAGCCCTGCATCAGGCTCTGCGCTCAACACAGGGTTTGCTTGGGATTCTGTTCTGTCCTGCTTCCCTGTCCCCCACACATGCTCATGTGTTCTCTCTCTCTCTCAAGTAAATAAATCTTAAAAAAAAAAAAATACCAAAAGCTTCCAATTCTTTTATATTCTTTTACAAAAAGAGCCTCAGGCTTGTTTGAGGCTGGCAAAGCTGTTATCCTTGCCCAGAGTGTACAATGCTCCCCCAAGAGGAAGCTTTGTGTTTTTAGGCCTGGTTAGCTTCCTCCTTTGGGGGTGCCTCAGGCCAACCTGTAGAACCAGTGTCATCCATCTTCTCTTTGGGAGATGAGTCATTTCTTGCTACTTTTCTAAGACTGCTCTCAAGTTGCTGTTGTAACCAAGAAGCTGGACCAGGCAGGTGTTGAGTAATGGGATTATTGGGGATGGTGGCTGCCAAGAGGGCCTGCTTTGTACAAAGGGGCATCCACTGATAGATGGCAGAGAGTTGTCAACTGCCTGACTGCTGGCCCAGTATTGTCAGACCCTCTGATTTTTAGGGAAAGCTGGTAATAAAGATGTATGTGAAATTTGTAAACGACAGAAGAAGCTGAGAATAAAAAATAAGCTGGGAAGAGGCTGGGGATAAAGATGTATATGAAATTTGCAAATGAGAAAATAAAAGCACTTTGAAGGTTCCACCAACGTCCCCCAGTGATTTTAGCCACCTGATTTGAGTCTGGGCCACAGCTGTGCTCCCATCTTTTTCTGGGATCTGCTCATTGTTTCATATTGTGAATTTTAAAATTTTCCTTTTCAGTGGGCATTTTTATCTTACCTGATGAGCAAGCCAGAGTTGTCACTATAAAAAGGTTAAGCAAAAAGAAGTTTGTCTCCCATTTCTGCTGCTTTCTCAATCTGCCTGCTGGTTCTCTCAGCACCAGATTTGTGGACAAAGCTGATGTGTAGTACAGGTGGTGTGTTCGTGGAGATTGGCTTTTAAAGCACTTGGGCAATCCTAATACTGCTTATTTCTTAGCTCTTCTAAGTGTGACACAGTGAGGGTTTAGAGAACCTTGTGATGAGATATCATGTCTTTTGCTGAAAGATTCCATTATTCTGATGGAAGTGTCATTTATTTCATCCTCATGAACAAGTGTAGTAGGCTGAGTACCTGTGCAACATGAGTGGGCTGTCTTTTTTTGGAATCAGAGAAATATATTGGAAAGAGTTTGGGGTGTGGAGTTTGCTAGATGTGGCTCAAATCATAGCTGTGTCACTCCTGGGAAAGTTATTTTATTTCATTTTTGGCATTTGTATAATGAATTAACA